TGGCCAAGGAGTACAAGGTTCCTTTCGGGGGTGGGGGTAATATTGTAGTGATGGGTTCCACAACTCTATTAGAAACACTGAAAACTATTAAATTGTATATTTTAAATATCTGATTTATGTTTATCCTCATCTGAGGACATGCTTATTGATTTTAGAGAGAGGGATAGGAAGGCGGGGGGCAGGGAGTGAAACATCAATGTGAGAGAGAAACATGAATCGGTTGCCTCTTGCATGCTCTCTAACCTGGGACCAAATCCACAACCCAGGCATGCGCCCTGACTGGGAACTGAACCCACAACCTTTTGGTTTATGGGACGATGCTCCAATCAACTGAGCCACACTGGTCAGGGCTTGAGCTGTATATTTTAAATGGATGAACTGTATGGTATATGAATTATATCTCAATAAAGCTGCTACCCAAAACAACTTCCCACAAAACTTAATTTATAAATTTATTGCAACCCCAGTAAAAATTCTAGAGTTCTCTACCTCCTGAATTTAGCAAGTTAATTCTAAAGTTTATCTGGAAGAAGAGCCAAGACAATTTTTTAGAAATGGTGATAAGAGAGACTAGCCCTGGAATAATAAAACATATTATAAACCTCAAAAATCCAACCCATGAGGTACTTGCATAGAAATGGAGATAAATTGGAAAGAAATAAGTAGAACTATGTAATAAAGGAATTTATGTTATATTATGAAGAGGGATTTCACAGCAGTGATGAAAGGATGCACTATTTATAAATGGTGTTGAAGCAATGAACTATCCATTTGGAACAGTAACTTAAAAATCTCAACCCCCACCACACAGGAAAATAAATTTACTAGTGAAATTTAAAAAGCTAAATGTAGCCCTGACTGGTGTGGCTTAGTTGGTCGGGCGTCTTCCCACAAAGCGAAATGTTGCTTTTTCGATTCCTGGTTAGGGCCCTTGAGTATTTGGTCCCTGGTCCAGGCGTGTGTGAGAGGCAACCAATTGACATTTCTCTCCCACATTGATGTTTCTTTCTCTCTCCCTTCCCCTCTTGCTAAAAGTAAATAAATAAAATCTTAAAAAGAAAAGAAAAGCTAAATGTAAATCCAAACCCACAAGAGTAGTAAAAGAAAACACGGGAGAGTATTTTTCAATATCGGGGTGGGGAAGGAAAGACTTCCTAAGCAAGATACCAAATCCAAAAGCCATAAAGGAGGAGACGTTTTCTCTTTGTCTTCCTTACACTTTGCAATGACTTGTTTACTTGTTTGTCGACCCTCCCCTACTAGATGGGAGGAACAACAGGGCAGGGCCCAAGTCTGTCATTTTAGTCACTCTATCCCTGGCACATAGTAGGAGCTCAATAAATACTTGTCAAATGGAAAGATTTGACTATGTAAAAATTAGGAAGTTCTATATAAAGAGATATAATACACAAATTTAAAAAGACAAATGATCTGGAAGAAAGAAATATTAGGTTGAACCATATAAAATTCCTGTGGGGAGAGGTCAAAAATGGTAGAATATTAGCAATTTCATGTGGCTCAACCTCGTATTATTAACACAGACCAGATGAAGAATAAATATATGTGATCGAGAAAAACCTCTTACAAAACAAGACCAAATATCCAATAGAAAAAATAGCTAGGAGATTTGAACAAGCAGATCACAAAGAAACAAACACCAATACACATAAGAAAAGATAAAACCACCTCACTGATGAGCAAGTGGAAATAAATATGGAAACACAAATCATGGTGGTACATGTGCCAGACTGGTGAACACAACTGGACTAAGAGGCCCAGTTTTGCTAAGATGTGAAGAAATGTACACTCAAACATCAGTGGTTAGAGTATAAACTGGTATAAACTTTTTTGGAGTATAGCTTAATAGTACCTACTTGGCACGCTCTTGGGACTAGCAATTTGACTTTCAGAGACTCTCATTCAGAGAGATACATATTTTGATTCAAATGCACAAGAAGGTATGTAGAAGAATATTCAACGTTATTTATAATAGCTAAAAGTTGTAGACAATTTAAATGTCATTTTATAGAACTGTTAAACTATAGTAAAGTCTTATTATGAAAATAAATGTAATTGCTGAAAATGATAAGGTAGGGTAGATCTGTGTGTCCAGACCTGAAAGGTGGCCGTGACATCTGTGAACAAAAACAAGCAGGATATAGAAAAGTACAGATAGTTTGATTCCATTTTTCCTAACACAACAAAGAAAAATAATATATGCAGGTCTATCCACAGGCAGGGAAAGGTCTGGAAGAATATACACCAAAAAGTCAATAGTAGTAGTAATCTCGGGGGGTTGGGGGTCATGGGGAAGGACAGTAATACCACTTATAAATTATTTTGATTTTTTTTTAAGTAGCATGTACTTCTACAATTTTTTTAAGGCAAGGAGCAATATGAAATATGCTTGTTACCTGCTTTGGAGCAGAGAATGGAGCAGAGGGAGCCATTAGAGGTCCAAGGACAAGGATCTGAGATGGGACACCACCAAGTAATACAAAGAGCACGGATATTGACGTCAAAAGACCAGGGTCTGAGTTTTAAAAGCTCATTAAACCTCTGAGCCTTGGATTTCTCACCTGTGAAATGCGTTGATATACTTACTTTAAAGAGATATTGGGGCCTAGTAAATGAAATCAGTTCTGTCAAAGTACTTTGCAAATGGTAAAATGGTTTAAAAATCAGGGTGATATTACTGCTTGGTATAGCAAAGCCTTAGGTTGAAAATAGGAAAAACAAGGGCTAACACTACACAAAGTCCTAAGGGAAAGAGAGACAAATGGGAACTGATGAGCTGTATCAACAAATTAGAATGTGTGGACCTAATTTGGACCCTGATTCATATTGTTAAATATGTTTATGAGAATCAAGAAAATTTAAATACTGTTGTATATGACATTATATTAAGGAGCTTTTTAGATGTAATAATTGCATTATGGCTGTGGGTTTCTTCAATCATTATGTTCTAGAGATACATATGGAAATATTTATGGATGAAATGATGTGATGCTTGATTAGCTCTAAATAATGTTCAAAGCTGAGGGAATGGAGAATGAATAGAGGTATAGATGAAACAAGATTGGCTGTTGAAGTTGGGTGATAAGTATAAAGGGTTTTTAGTATTATTTTTTTCTATTTTTACATACGTTTGAAATGCAACATGGTTAAACTTTTTGTAAAAAATGACTGGGTGCCACCTTCCTAGGTCTAGGAGAAGGCGCTCTGCGGTCTGCGGCAGTGATGACATGGGTGCTCCAGAAGGCCTGCCACGGGAAGCCCGCACTGCACCGCGCAAGCACTGTGGGTCAGCAGCGCTCTCACTGGTCAGCAGGTGGGGCTCGCTAACCAAGAAGCAAGACCAGAATGCAGTCCTGTCTATCAAAGAAAGGAACCATAAGTGGTGGTACAGATGGGGTTGAGGCAATAATGGGATGGACACCTGGAGAAAATAAAGGAAATTTGGGTACAAAATATAAATGGAAGTTAACAATATAATTAAATATCCAAATGGAACTGCTTTTAATTGTCATAGTACTGTCACTAAGATTTTATGCCAGCATTTAGACTTCAAATGTAGATTAATGAATGGATTAATACCTTTCTAGGCTCATCCTTTAATACTATTTTAGAAAAGTGCTATTGCAGGCAACAGCCAAAAAAAAAAAAAATTCCAATAGATCAGCTGCACTGCTCTTAATGAAATTAAACACACAAAATTAAGCCCCCTCTAAAAGTTGACCTATTGATGTGAGGGGAAAATGAAAAGTCCTCTAACAAAAGCTTTATTTATATGTTTCCAGTAGCTGAATTTTTACTAGTCTCACTTTTGCGTGGGGTCACCTGACAGAGTGGGCAAGAGCGACCTTCCACCCTTACTCCAAGGTCTGCCCTGGTTGATTCCACTTAAGGGGAACCAGGATGATGCCATTCAGTGGTCTTACTTTTTGAGACTGCCTATGGAAGACCAAAACACCATCCCTTTAAGCCCCATCAGAAAACCTGAATGGGATGAATCAAGTGAGACATTTCTTAGCCTGGCCCTGCCAAGGGTCTCTACTCTGGTCCACTTCTCGTTGCCCTCCTACCCCTCTGCAATGGCTTCCTCCAAAAACCATAAAATCTAACCCCCGACCCCCAAGTCTAAAGAAAAAGGTTCTAGCCCTAGCCCTGCCACTAATAAGAAGGTAGAGAATCTTACAACCCATCAGTGAAGTGAGGAGATCAGATGGTTGGTTTTCTAAGACCCTTTTCAATGTTGATTCTCACATGAGCTTCTCTTTAACAAGAAAACATGAGGTGTGACAGATGAGTTTTCCTTTAAATTTCTTAGCACAAGTGATTAAGAAAACCAAAAAACGATGGAAGATCTTCAAAGCCCTTCAAGACTGCCTAATTTAGGCCTGGCCAGGGAAGGAAGCTGAGGCTGCATGAAAACCTAGCTACCACAGTGACATCTACTCCACTCAAAGTGACAAGAGCCCAACAGGGTAAGAGGTGAAGGAGAAGGGGAAGAAATCAAGGTGCTGGGGCTCTCCTTGGTCCACCCCACTGCCCCCAGTGTGACCTGGATTCTGGTGCCACAACCTTTCCCCCTGTACAGGTCCACATCCTGCTACTGAGAGACAGCATGTGAACTAAAGTGGGAAGGCCTGATATACTGTACAATCTAAAATTCCAGCATTCATGGATGAGGGCCTGTGTTTCACACCAGTTCAAAATAATCCTAAAATGACCTCAAATAAACCATCAAATCATCTGTTTACAGCAGAACATAAGATATCAATTCAGTCATTCTTATGACAAAGCAGGTCTTTTTAGGTGAGGTTTGAGATCACCTCAAGAGATAAATTCCAAGCTTCCACTGTTGTGAAAATAGGCATAGCACTCTAAAGTCACTATCCTTTCTTAGCAAGACATGCCTACTGGCTGCACTCAGGAAAAACAAACAGACTGAAGATAAGAAAGAACAGCTTGTTCAACTTGGTACTCATGCTTCTTACCCACATATTCTGATAGGAAGACGACAAAGAACGGAGTGACCAGGTCATTAATTCCCTGGACATACCCACTGGCAGGGTGTCGGATGGCCCAAATAAATAGAATTCTTTCGAAGATCTAGGAAAGAAGGAAAGAAGACATAACTGTTAAACTATGGGGATACATTCCCTCCCTCTGTTTACCTACCTCACAATTCATCTCAGGGCTGCTGTAAAATTTTTAGGAAAAATATTTTAATACTATGAGATAAAGTATAGAAATATAAGAAGTTTCTAAGACACTAGTTGTTTTTAAGCAGATGTAGATACTCCTTGCCCTTTATCTTTTCAGTGTCTAGCCACCATGATATAAAATTAGGAAAAGGAAAAGGATGACGATACAATGGCTCAAGAAAAAGGTTTGCAATGCATGTCACTGATTCAGGATGTCATTTAAGATACTGTTTCTCTAGTTCCAGGAGCAAGTATCTGAACAGCTAAGTTCTGATACTTTTCCAAATCTTTTTTGTCACTACAGGATGTAGATAGGAAATACCTTCTCTACCACCCTCCCCATCCTCCCTGCTGAGACAGAAAAAGATCTAGTGATAGACGATAAATGCAGGAAGTCACTTCATATATCAGGATGCAACCCAGACATTGGCTAGGGATAGCAAGTTAAATAAACCAAACCCAAGGACTCTTGCAGCTGGGAATCTGAGAAAAAGAAATCTTGCCCTGGCTGGTGTGGCTCAGTGGACTGAGTGCTGGCCTGCGAACCCAAGAGTCACTGGTTAGATTCTCAGTCAGGGCACATGCCTGAGTTGCGGGCCGGGTCTACAGCAGGGGGCACGCAAGAGGCAACCACACATTGACGCTTCTCTCCCTCCCTTCCCCTCTCTCTAAAAATAAATAAATAAAATCTTTTTTAAAAAAAAGAAAGGAGAAATCAGCCAGGGCCTCCATGGAAAAGCTTCTGTGGCCCTGTCCCATTCAGCTACACTTCCCTCTGCTTTCATTAGGCCCTCTGAGCGTTTTCCCCATTCCCTTGCTTCAGCCCGCTGACCACAACTCCTGGACTCGACATGAACTGCTCATGTCTCTGTGAACCACGCAGAGGGTGACAGAGGTGTTGGTGATGTGTAGAGGGACAGGAATTACAGGGCCACCATAGCACATGGGCTTGCAGAGCCCCAAAATGTTGGCTCTGGGGGCAGAATGAAGAGGCCTTCTCAGAAGTCAGGTGGAGAGAAAGAAAAGCTTCCAGGGAGAACAGTAAAAAAGAAACGGTTGTATGGTTTGAGATTGATTAGCTAGTGTAGGAGTAAAGAGGAGAATCTAAAGACACAATAAAGGACATTTCCCAGCTCCTTCCAGCTGGCAGAGCACTGAGAAACATTCCCACTATCAACACTCCTGCACTTCCAAGCCATAAGAACAAAGCTGTCTGGAAGGAGCTGGCCTCTCTGCCCCCACTAGACTTGCCCACTTGTTCCCTGGGGCTGAGGGAAGGGCAGGGTGTCCTCATTTGTGTTAGACTGAACCCTGTAATGGGGGCTTGCCTACATTCTTTCCTCTCTGCTGCTAAACCCTCCCTCCCTTGAAACTGTAGGTCAGGCCAGATGCACCAAGTTCAGGAAGATCCCAAGGATTCTCTATGCCACTGTCTCCTCACATCTCCTGTGGCCTGCATCTGTCTGGATGTCTCTGTTAAAAGTTCCTTCAGGTCAGTCCTTCTGAAGGACTTACCAGAGCCTCTACTCCACAATCTCAGCCCCTTGTGAATATACAAATCCTTGATGACTGGCTTTAACAATGGCCAATGACTAGCCATTCACAATCAGGACCTGCAATAAACCCTCTATAGCAAGGGTGGGGCAGCGCATACGTGCTCATGCTATACAAATGAAAATGACAAAGAGATGGAATTTGAACAGTACCAAACCTGGTTACCGCTGGAGACCACGGAATCTTCACTACAGAAAAATGTCTGGAATAATCTGGCCTTGCAGAGAGGAGAGGCGAGGAGAATACCTGAGGGTTTTTCTATACTTCTAGCAGTGTGGGTAACTCTGACTTCTATAGTTAATGCTGAACTACCTTTCAGGTTTGCAAAGCAAGTCTTTCAATATTCAGGGTTATTCAATTCTCTACTCCTTAGTTAGCATTTTGCTCTCTTTAGGGGTACCGCAGCCTGCTAGACAGAGCAGCAATTTGAGAAAAACTGAAAAGCCTACAGTCTGATTTTCAGGTTCCATTAATACGAGAAGCCTTTTAAACAAATTACTTTCTCTGCCTCTAAGTTTAGAGTAAACATGCACAGGTATAAATATATGAACATATCCAGGTCAAAATGAGGAATAAGCAGGTCTGTGTCAGGTGTAGGAAACTGGACGGTGACACAAAGGGATCTTGAATGGGTTTTTAGCTTCCTCTGAGCTGACTAGTACAGGCAAAATAATGGTGCCACCCTCAAATCTTCTTTATGCTAATGGCAAGTCATGAGGGATCTCCCCAGCAGACATCTATAATTAAACAGAATTAGGAACATAATCTAAAGTCAATATAAATTATTTTGAGCATTTTTCCCACCATCCTTCCTTATTATGAGGATACCTGAAAGTGCAACTCAAAGATCACTTAAACCCAGTGCCCTAGAGACTGTGAAGCTGCAAAGGCAATGCTTAATCTCCAGGAGTTCACAGTTACTGCTTGGGTAAAAGACAACAGTCCCACTGAGACCTTCCATGTGCTTCACTAATTAGTTAGGTCTCAAAGTATCACTACTAACTCAATTTCTGGATATATATCCAGAATTTAAAACAGGGACTCAAACAGATATTTGCCTGCCCATGTTTATATAGGAGCATTTTTCACAATACCAAAAGGTGGAAACAACCCAACTGTCCACTGATAGATGACTGGATCAACAATATGTAAAAAATAAAAAAAAAATATATATATATATGTACATATATATTTAAAATTAAATATGATTCAGACTTAAAAAGGAAGGAAATTCTGACACACACTATTACATGGATGAACCCTGAAGATATTTCTGCTAAGTGAAATAAGCTAGACACAAAAGAACAAATATTGTATGATCCTACTTATCTGAGGTACCAAGAGTAGTCAAATTCATAGAGAAAGAAAGTAGAATGGTGGTTGCTAGGGAATACATAGTTATTGTTTATTGCACTTAGTATCACTGAACTGTACACTTAAAGTTGGTTAAAATGATAAATTTTGTTACATATATTTGAACAATTTTTAAAAAGTCATTATTCCAGCATGAAAAAGTACAGCAAACACAGGTCTAGAAATTCTAAGATGTGGGCTCTAGTGCTCATTCTGTCACCAGGTATCCTCAAGACTCTAGGCAAGTCCCTTAAAATACCAGCACTACTCTGCCCACAGGTTTATTATGAGGGTCATATAAGAATGCACAAGAAAGTTCTCTGAAGGGGCCAAAGCTCCATAGCTAGCTGCATACAGATATTATCACAATTAGCTATAAACCTGCCAGTGATTGGAGGGAAGGCTCCAGCACTCATCCATGCAGAATAGGTCCCACAAAGGTATGAGGAGAGAAGGGCCAAGAATGTTAACTATTTCCCTCACCTCCTGTACAAGTGGTTGCTGGAACAATGGAATGAGAGGATTCGTCCTTGGAATGTCAATGTGGATCTGAAAAAGAGAAGCCATGGCCAAAAACACAAATGCAAATTTGTTCTCTTGAGAAGTTATTTTCTTAGTAAGAATTAGGATCAAGGGAGTAAGAGTGAGAGCACAATTTATCTTTAGAAAGAACTAATTGATTACAAAAAAAGTATAGGTAAGCCTACCTGTACATCTGGAATATGTTTCCATGATAGCAGCAGCTTATTTAACAGTGAGGAAACCTCCCCACTAAAAACCCCACTTATCTCAAAAAGCAACAGGCATTACAACCTAAGAGAATCACCTGCTTTTCCCTATTGCTCTGAAGTCTGTTTCACCCTGAACTGGTACTTCTTTAGTAGGTATGATCAAAATGTGTACCCCTTTTTCCGAATCTAACTCAACAGTTTCTAGGAACTAAAAGAGCTCTGACTGCTGCAAAAATGTGCCAGAATAAGGAACCAAGAAGGATCTGCTCATGAAGTCATGATGTATAAGAAGAGGGGCAACACCAGGGGGAGCTGACCTTCAGTAACTGGCACTGAAAGTTCTGACTTCTGTTACCAAAGAGGTCATTACAGTTGGCTTTGGCCTTGGGATTCCCCAAGTCTAGGAATCGTAAGGACTACGTCAGCAGTGGCAGAGTGTACTTCAGTTCTTAGGGATTGTTGCCGACAACTGCTTCTCCCAGTCTTTTCTCCTCTTTTGCAACCACCTCATCTCCACCCTGCCCCCCTGCTCCACCTTCCTGCAGGCTGTGGGGACCACTATTTGTAATGATGGAACACTCCCTGCCGAGGCTGCCGATGATGACAGCTCCTGCAGACAGACCAACAGACATGGGGGCTGAAGAGGCACAATGTCACAGTCCTGAAGGACTCATCTCCACCCTGCCCCCCTGCTCCACCTTCCTGCAGGCTGTGAGGACCACTATTTGTAATGATGGAACACTCCCTGCCGAGGCTGCCGATGATGACAGCTCCTGCAGACAGACCAACAGACATGGGGGCTGAAGAGGCACAATGTCACAGTCCTGAAGGACTGGACCACCCTGAGGGAACACATCTCGCATCTTGGGTCCCATCCCCTTAGTACTCAACAGTGAGGTCTGTGGAACACAGTGTTGCCATCACCTGGAAGCTTATTAGATGTGAAGGTCTCACCCCAGACCTACTGAACTAGAATTTACATTTCATTACAATTCTGATGTGGGATTTCATCAAAATCCTAAGTGATTTGTATATACATTAAATTTGAGAAGCACTGCCACTGGCCAGGAGGAAAAATCTATTCTAAATGGCTAAAATTAGAGCTACTGAATTAGAAAGAGGGAAAGCAGTTATGGGAATAAAGTTTTTTTTCTAGACCCCCCAAAATCTACTCTGCATACTCCCAGGAATAAATTTAATTCCTAACCAGCACACCATAGCCTAAAGACTTGGAAAACCTGTTCCTGATAGTACTCCCATGTGTACATACCGTAAGATTATATGACAAGTAAGCAAAAGGGCAGCAGGTGATGACTGTACCTGTCTGTACGTGTCCTGGTGATGTTCCTCATTTCGAGAGTCATAATACTGCTCGATGAAGCCAAAATATTCTTCCCGCTTCCGCTGCAGGGTCAACTTCCTTCTCTCCTTGTTGGCTGGGAGATAGCCCTATAGACAGGACTGCTAGTCAGATGGGGACAGATAATGGTTGGATGAATCCTTAATTTTTATTTCAGCCTGAGCAGTGGCTTGGAAACTATCAAAAGAATGGGAGGAAAACTGCCAAGGGAACAAGGGTAGATCCTATTTTGGTTTTGGCCACCCAGAATCTGCCCTCTCCTTCCTCATTCAATGAGATCCACATGAAGGTAGATGAACCAAGGCCAGCGTTCCCAGGGTTATGTACTCTTGTAGCCCTGTGCTGCGCTTGGAGCTTGTACTGCTGGTGAGCACCCCAGAGCTCCCACAGCTGGCACATTGAGCAGTGAATGTAGGTCAGTCGGAGGGAACTGGACTCAAGTCAAAACCTCTGAAGGCTGTGAGTGTGCAAGACAATACTTCTGAAAATCGCGGGAGACGCCTGTCTCCACAGCACATCTCAGTGATGTGCAATGTAAGTGTGTACTGGTTGGTTACCCCTTCTCGGCCACAGAAACATTTGGAACTAACAGCATGGGAAGCTGAATGGAATATGCGACATAGTAGCTGCAATGTCCACACATAGAACTTCTGGCAGCAGCCCCCTCCCAGCCAAAGCTCCAGGCCAGCTTTCATTCTTATCCCTCATCTAGATCCTACTCTCAATTCTTACATCTCCTGCTCTCTTTCGGTTCTCATCAAATCTACTCTTCATAGCATTTGAACTTATTAAGAGTGCCAGAGGCAATGACTCATGGTTGTAGGACTCAGGGTGGGGAGCAGTCAAGAGAGAGACCCTTCCTCTCACGAACATTTATGCAATATATTCCATAGGGAGTGCCTGCAGGCAGAAAGTGGTTGATTCATTTTTGTATACCCTCCCAGGACCCGACACCGTGCCTGGCAAATAGCAGGTCCTCAATAAAAATCTTTGCTAGGTGAATGAATGAATTTTACAGGCTCAGAGAATCCAAGTATTCCTATCACAGTGGCTGGAGAGTGCCCTGCACTCAGTGAAAGTGGGCCTATGCAGGCTTCCGAGGGAGACCCATTCATCAACTCTTTGCAGTTGCAAAGTGGATTTCAGGCACTTTGGTTATTCCTACTGAAAAAGGGGTAAGCACAGGGACTGTGGACTTGCACTGGGACCACTGCACCTCACTATAGTCTTCCTCTCTGGTGTTAAGAATGTGAGATTGTGACTAAGGGTACCAACTTGTGCTCTTCTACCTGTGTGGGAATAAACTCTCCAGAATGTGTTTCTTTATATACAGAAATAGGACTATAGTCCCACATTTGTGTCATACCCAGTAGGACTAGAGAAGTCTATGGAGTTAAGACTAATGTGCTTGAACTAACCTCATCAAGTAAGAAGGGCTGTGTGAGGCTCATGCTTCTCTACACAGTGGGTAGAACTCACCGACAGGAGTCTCCAGGTTACAGGTCGAACCTCCCTGGGAACCCCTGGCCAGCTACACTTTCTCAGCTCATCTGTAAACAGATAACAGCTTCGTTTAGCTCTTCCCATAACCTAAAACAAACCTCAGCCAGCACTGTCTGATGCCTCCCACCATTCAAGTAAGATGATCACCACCATCACCAAAACCACCGTCACCAGCTACTAATAAGCACAGGGATAAAGCCCAAAACAACAGCCCTGAGCAGCAAAGTGCCAAGGACATAGTTCTACAGTAGGGATCTAGTCAGCTAGAGGTTAGAGTTAGAGGGGAAGAGAAAGACCAGTAGGTGTGGATTTCAATAATCGCCTTGAGGTGGGGAGACCAAAGCCAGAATAATTGCACTATGGTCTACAGGCCACAGAATCCAGTCCCACCTAATTTGGTCCCTAATTTCTAGTAACATACTTCTGACTTGATACCTGCATGTCACTGCAATGGGCACCAGATCAGGAGATGCTGGAAAAGTAAAAGAAGGAAGAATAAAGAGCAATAGCTTCCAGGTCTCAGAGAATTCCAGTCACCAAGAGGTCCTCTCTTGCCCAGAGCTCACAGAGACTTACCTAAGTCAGTGTTGTGGCTGGAGAGAAGCTGACGGAATTTTTCTAGGCGGGTTTTCTCTCGGACAGTCATCGGAGGTGCCCCAGAAGCATTCTGGTCTGAGATCCGGGCTACAAGGGGGATGATGGGTCGAAGAGGAAGTGACTGCTGTTTGTGGAGTGCATTCCTCAGGCATGTATCACCTGAGATAATATGAAAGAGAAAGAGACAGGCTATGTGAAGAGCATGGATTCTGAGAAACCTTAAACCTGACTGTTCAGTACAGTCTCCTCCATAAGCCACAGCTGCATGGTATGTGGGCTGCCGGAGGTGTCCAGCTGAGGGGCAGCAGGGTTGGAAACCCGACTGTGCTCTGCTCTCCTGCCCGGATGACAGGCTGTGTTTTTGATCATACATATAAGGCACCTTATGTGCTAACAGAGATTTGGATGCTGCAGCAACTTTGACAACTCTTTTGGTGACTCCAGAGGGCAATAAAATGTTTTCTTTCTAACCCAACCTGGAACTCTTCTTGGTGCCTAATAATGAGTTTGGGGGCAACAGAGTCTGAGGCCACATTCACCTTCTCTATGCACGTCACAGAGCACATAGGAAATGACACTATAAAGCACGCTGCAGTACAAGGAGGTGGCTGCTCTCCTGAATCCCCAGCCCTACTCAGCTGCCCCAAGAGCTGGGAAGGTCAGTATCCCTGGCCCAACTCTAACCTGTTCTTGGCCCACAGTGTGCCCTGCACAGGGTGAGAAGCTCTGGCCTAAAGCAATCCCACTTTTCGTGGCTGCAGCTCCTTTGTGCTCCACGTGTCTCACCAAATGAACCAGCTTTTAATTCTGCTCAGATACAACTAAAATAACAGGAACACAGATACAAGCTGAATTCTATGTCTGGTTCTAGACAACTCTACACTAGATGGTAAGAGGAGAAATGAGCAGTATAGGACTAACATTTATTGAGTGCTGGTCACATTTACATATTTCTCCTTTGATCCTAACAACACGTGGTGGGAATTTATTAATTTATTACTATCCTACAGATAAGGAAACTACAGCTCAAAAAGGTTAACTAATTTTCAAGGGAGAGGCAAGGAGCCACCCTAGATTGTTCTGACTCCAAAACTCTTATTTATTTTAATACCCCAAACAAAACTCAGTTGTAAATTCTGACTGCCCTTTCATGACTGTTTCATATTTTTTACCTATTGAGACCTTAAAAAGTATTAGTCACAGCAAGAATTAAACAGTGACTACCAGCACAACTAGCAGGTTTATAGAAACAAGTGCCACAGGGTACCTGGCCGGGATGCCTAGTGTAATATGAGGCCTAGAAAATGCAGAACACACATTACAGCGCTGAGGCCCATGTGCACATCTGACAGCAGTGACTGGCAGACTGATACTCACAGGCGGGAGCCTCATCAAGGGAAGGCTCTAGGTGGTCCTGGCTGCACAGGGGCAGCTCATTAGAGATCATGGAGGGGTCTTCCTCACACTGGAGACCCTCAATCACAGTGCAGAGACACTGTCTGTACTGTGGCCCCTGGTGAATCAACACTAAATGCTGGCCTGCACATGGCACCAGAGCTTCAAGCTGGGGCCTGAACCAGAGATAGAAAGTGACGGTGGAATGATATCAAAGGCTTTCCATCCTAATTTCATGACCACACGTTTAGTCTGAAGCTGTGAAAGAAGTTCTCTTAGAACACATGCCAAGACCCACTCCAGGGCTCTGACATTCTTCTACTTCCTTTTCACCCTTCACCAGGCTGTTGTTTTAACTTTCACTAGAAGGACAGCATTTCCCTCTCCAGCTCAGAATAAGTGGCTTCCAAAAAACCCTCTAAGGCAACATTTAATATAGCACTACATGTTTAAAAGTATACACTGAGAGTCCCTGAATATCTGATAAAGCCACCATCACCTCAACCAGTTATTGCAGCCTCTTGAAGAGACACATCAGGGGATCTCCCCCTGCTCCCCCAACCTGACAGGCAGGGCACTGTGACACAGGGCCTTTGCATACATGCTGCTCCGTGCCTCAGCAAGAGGAGAGACAACCTTATGCTTGTGGCTGTTCCCCAAGGCTGAGGAGGCCAAGTAACAGAACCAAACGTTTGTGGAATACGGCTAATAACCTTAGATACATTAGTCAATAGTCTTTAATCTGACCAGCCCTAAAGCAATGTGAAGCAAACAAACTACAAAAGTTTTGGATTCCAGCATAGGGAAAGAAAAAAGAGATTTGCAGGCAACACCTGGGTGTCAGGAGGTGAAGCTCCAGGTTGCAGAGCCAGGCAGCCATCAAGGTGGGAGAAGCAGGTACAGCTTACGACCAGTTAGGCTCACTGATGTCATACCTTAGGCTTGAGCTTGATTATTTACCACCCAATGGAAAAATGTGAGTGATGCCCTAAGTAAAAAATGTTTTTATGTAAAATGTACTCTGCTGAAAAGGCAGAGCTATGGAGGAAGTGGGATGGACTTACTGGAATTTCTGGACAGCTGGGCATCACTGCTGGACTTTATGACCTTGTAGCTGGCAGGAACGTCAGATGTTGTTGACTGGGATCGTTCTGGTTTCACCCTCAGCTTGCTGTGGTTTTCCAGGACTTGGGCTGCAGTTGCCAAAGCAACTTTTGAGTTCAGAGTTTGGAAAGAAGGGGAGGAAAAGTCCTCTTCCTCATCATCACCAATGTCCCAAGCATCACTGGTATTCCGGGCAAACTCATGAAAACTGGAGGCCTTCTTATTCTTCAGAGGAACTGTGTTGACTTTTGATCGCTCTTTAATAAAGCTTTAAGAAAGGAGACACCATTACCAAAGAATGGTCTGACACATCTCACCACTTGTTTAATGTGATATTAACAGTATTACAGACAATCTCATACACAATCACTATCTGCTTCAGACAAAAAATACCCATTATCTGTTCCTCATCTATATGCACCTAGACCAGCCCTATGCTGTAGACAGATGTAGCAAAGACAGCAATGCTCACCAACTATTTGATGTGCTGCTCTATACTTCCCAGCTGCCAGGCACTTAAGCGAGACTACATGACTAGCTCTCGTCAGCGGGCTGAGAAGTGAGACAATCACTTCCAAGTCCAAGTATAAAAGAAAAGGTGTGAGTTCTCTATAAACTTTCTTCTACTGTGGTAAAGGGTGAGGATCCAGATGGTGGTGCCTCCCTCAGCCTGGGTAACAGGTGAGTACTAGAGCACAGCCTGCCCTCCACTGCCACCCAATCCCACTCGGCACATGTAGTATGAGCGTGAAACAAACCTTAGTGTATCAATCCACAGAAATTCCAGGCTTAACCTATTATGGCAGCATAGCCTTAACTGCTCCTTAGGCCATAAACTACTGGTAGAAGAGGAGGTAACTTTAGTTAGACCGTATGTAGCATTAAATATTGAGTTCCAAAATGAACAAGTTGTCCTTTTTTTATCCTGTTAAAGTCCTGCTAGCCAATGAGGAGACAGTCTCAGTTTGGTGCCACTCTGTCTATAAGACCATTTTTTAACAAAAATGAGCACAGCCTCAGGACCGACATATTTGTAAGCAATAGGACCTGACTTAGAATTTAATTAATAAGGTTGTTTTAGTTTTTCACTGTTTTTTTTTTAAGATTACTTTCTATTTTTGGCAAATGGTATTGGTTTTTCATTTATAGAAGTGATAAGGTTTATGTTTAAAAACAAATCTAATTGTGTAAATAAAATGAGGTTTTTAAAATGCATTTGGTGTATTTCTGGGCTTTCTATTCTGTTCCATTGATCTATATGTCTGTTTTTATGCCAGTACCATGCTGTTTTGACTACTATGGCCTTATAGTATAGTTTGATATTAGGTAGCATCATTCCTCCAACTTTGTTCTTCTTTCTCAGGATCACTGTTGCTATGTGGGGCCTTTTATGGCTCCACATAAATTTGTGAAATATTTGTTCTAGTTCTGTGAAATATGTCATTGGAATCTTGATAAGAATTGCATTGAATCTATAAATTGCTTTGGATAATATGGACATTTTTATGATGTTAATTCTTCCTATCCATGAACACTGTATGTGCTTCCACTTATTCGTATCTTCTTCAATTTCTTTCTTCAGTGTCATATAATTTTCTGAGTACAGGTCTTTCACATCTTTGGTTAGGTTTATTCCTAGGAATTTTATTCTTTTTGAAGCAATTGTGAATGAGACCGTTTTCTTATTTTCCCTTTCTGTTAATTTGTTACTGGCATAGAAAAATGCAACTAATTTCTAATATTAATTTTGTATCCAGCTACTTTGCTGAATTCAATATCATTGCTAATAGTTTCTTGGTGGAATCTTTGGGGTTCTCTATCTACAAATATCATGTCATCTGCAAATAAAGACAGTTTTACTTCTTCCTTTCCAATTGGGATGTCTTTTATTTCTTCTTCATGTCTGATTGCTGTAGCTAGGACTTTCAGACACAAGCACATACAATGGGCTAAAGATAGTTTATTCAATAAATAGTGATGGGAAACGACAGATATGTGCAGAAAAATGAAAGTAGACCACCTTCTTATACCACACAAAAGAATGAATTCAAAATGGATCAAAGACTTAAATGTTAGACCTGAAACAATAAAAATCCTAGAAGAAAACATAGGCAGCAAATCTTGGACATTGCTCGCAGCAATTTTTTATTGAGTATATCTCCCCAGGCAAAGGAAACAAAAGAAAAAAATAAACAAATTGGACTACATCAAACTACAAAGTTTTTGCACAGCAAAGGAAATCATCAACAAAATAAAAACACAACCCACAGAATGGGAGAACATATTCACTGATACATCTGATAAGGGGTTACTATCCAAAATGTATAAAGAACTTACAAAACTCAACACCAAAAAAACAAACAACCCAGTTAAAAATGAGCAAAGGACCTGAACAGATACTTCTCCAAAGAGGACATACAGATGGCCAAGAGACATGTGAAAAGATACTCAACATCACTAATCATCAGAGAAATGCAAATTAAAACCACCATGAGATACCATCTCACATCTGTCAGAATGGCTATCATCAATAAATCAATAAACATCAAATGCTGGTGAGGATGTGGAAAAAGGGGAATGCTTTTGCACCGTTGGTGTGAATGCAGACTGGTGCAGCCACTGTTGAAGCACTATGGAGATACCTCAAAAAATTTAAAATGGATCTGCCTTTTGACCCAGCAATCCCACTTTTGGGAATGTATCTGAAGGAACCCTAATTTGAAAGAACAGAAGCACCCCTATTTATATTTACAATTGTCAAGATATAAAAGCAGTCCAAGTGCCCATCAATAGATGAGTGATTAAAACAACTATAGGGCATTTACAAAATGGAATACTACTAGGCTACAAAAAAGAAAAAAATTGTACCCTGTGCAACAGCATGGATGGATCTGGAGAACATTATGCTAAGTGAAATAAGGCAGTCAGAGAATGACAAATACAGTACTCTTTCACTTATATGAGGAATCTAATGAACAAACTGAACAAACAAGAGAAATGGGGAACAGACTCATAGATGGAGAGCAAGATGACAGCTAGTGGGGCCAGGTAAGAGGGTGGAGGGATTAAGCAAAAAGGAAAGAGGACTCATGGATATGGACAAAAGTGTGGTGATTGCTGGGGGAAGAGGGTTATAAGGGGATCAAACAGTAATGGAAAAAATACAATAAAGACTAAATTTAAAAAATGTATTTAGTAAAGTAACAGTATAAAAAATAGAAAAAAAAAACCAACTGAAGATTTGGGGAACACTAGATTAACTCATTGAAGAAAGAGAGCCTATTTGTAAGAGCTGTGTATATCATCCCTACTTCCCTGAACTTTTCCTCTTATGTCAGTTTCAGGGGACTGTGTGGTCAGGGCATTTCTAACTCAGTCTTATCTGGCATCTCTCATACCCCAACCAGGGAAGCAGAGGGCACTGCCTGGTGTACACCTGGGGACTGGGATGCAATCGGTAAAAACATTAAAATGCCTGCCTGCTTCCCCCAGGAAGGCAGGGCAACTCTAGAGTGAAAAGGCTCTACCAGAGGAGCTGAAGTTCCCTCACTTCCAAGAGATGTTTCTTCCTTTGGGTGGAGATGTGTGGTCTAATAATCCATCCCATCTTCCTAGATGAGTCCAATTCTTATTCTGAAAGATAATTGTCATTAACATTGATAAATGCAGACTGATAACTCATACAGCTCATCAGAATGTCCCTATAATTAACACCAAAAAAGGAGTCAGGTATCACTGAGGAATTATTTTCAAAAACTAGTTTCAAAACTAGTTTACAAAGAGTAAAGGAAAATAGATCACATGAATACAAGAGAGAACACATTACAAGATGTAACAGCTCAAATGTGATGAAAACAAGATATCAGTTTCCACCCACTAAATTAGCAAAGATTTAAAGATGTATTCTCTTCAACTGGCCAGAGTGTAGTGAGACCAGCTCTCTAATATATTTTTAATGGTCTGTTGCAGGTGGGGGTGTATACTGCACAAACTTCGGGAAAATAATCTGGAAACATATACACCATAAGCCTTAAAATCGTTCATCATCTTGGCACTCTCCCTCCAGGGAGCAAGCCTGTGCTTTCCCCTGCCCACTTTTTTTCCCCCATAGGCATGCATCTACTAAATTCTAAGGGTCCTCACAAGACTTGCAACCAGGGGAGCAATGGGCAGCGGCAGCTCATTGGGCTACCCCCTAAACCTGTCTATAGATCCCCTTTTCTCTGACTTCCCAGTGAGCCAAAGCATGCTCGCCTCGGCTCATTTCTTTCCTATAACATTTCTAGAGACAAAGCAGCCCCGCCCAGGTCTCTCCAGTTGCTTCTTCTATCCTTAGTCCTTCCTTGTTTCACTGTCCCCAGCCTTCATAAACATACTCTCAATCACCACACAAAAAAGCTCATCTTCTCTGACCATAAGAATATAATCAGAAAGCCAAACATAATTGATCTAAAACAGTTACTGGTATTATTTATTTTGGTTAAAAACTGGAAATAACATAAACATCTAGAAATTGGAAATGACAGGTTAAATTATGGTTCAGCCACCAAATGGAATGTTATACTGCCAGTGAAAATCACATCTTGAGAACAATCTGAAGAAAGTAAAAATTGAAACCAAAATTATATATTTTTAATGGTCTATTTTTAACAACTATATGCACAGAAAAGATCAGGAAGAAAATACATCAAAATGTTAACAGTGCTTATCTCTTGGGCTGTGGAATTACAGGTGATATTTAATTTCATTTTTATACTTCCCTGAATTATTCGTATTTTCTAAACTGAGTGTATTATTTTTATTATTCAATGGAAAATGTTTTGTCAGCTTTTGTCAAACCCAAAGTAAGAATAATTATAAACCTACTGAATAAATACTTGGAAATGAACAAGAGCCCAAATCAAAGAAAATAAAACTGAGGTAATGCAGTGCAAATATCTGCATGTCAAAATTCCACTTGAGCCCTGGCTGGTGTAGATTGAGTGCTGGCCTGCAAACCAAAGGATCACTGGTGCGATTTCAGGTCAGGGCACATGCCTGGGTTGCAGGCCATGTCCCCAGTTAGGGGTACGCAAGAGGAAACCATACATTGATGTTTCTCTCCATCTCTTTCTCCCTCATTTCTAGTCTCTCTAAAGATAAATAAATAAAATCTTTAAAAAAATTTTTTTAAAAATCCACTTGAGCCAGAAGGCAAAGTGCTCCTCTGCAGGTCTGCCGGGGCTTCATGTTCTGGACTCATCACTATGACTGCTTCTCCTCTGTAAA